GGCCTCCATCCTCCCCTGACCTCAATCCTATTGAGAACCTTTGGAGCATCCTCAAGCAAAAGATCTATGGAGGGGTGGGAGGCAGTTTACATCCAAACAGCAGCTCTGGGAGGCTATTCTGACATCTTGCAAATTCAAGCAGAAACTGTCCAAAAACTCACAAGTTCAATGGATGCAAGACTTGTGAAGCTGCTATCAAATAAGGTGTCCTATGTTACAATGTAACGTGACCTGTTAAAATGTTTAAAAAGTAAAATGTTGTTAAAAGTTTGATTGAAATAGCTTTTGATTTTAGTAAATATGCTGCAAACACAACAAATGACAATTTTCAGTTCTTTACAACCTATAAAGTGTTTTGAAATTTACTGTGCGTAATAATTTGGAACAGTTCATTGTATGTGTTTTATGTTTAAAAAAAATACTAAATAATTAGGTTTGTTCAATAAAATGTGAATTGTACTCTTAATAGTTGATAACACGAGAATTATGCTGACTTATTTACATCATTTAGGTAAGTGAGAAAAATATAATTTGCATAGTAATTTGGAACACTGTGTGTGTATATATATATATATATATATATATATATATATATATATATATATACATACATACACACACATACATACACACACACACACACACATAACACACACACACACATATATACCGTATTTTTCGGCGTATAAGACGACTTTTTAACCCCTGGAAATCTTCTACAAAGTTGGGGGTCGTCTTATACGCCGGGTGTTGTGCTGAAACCTTACCTGTACTTCCGAGCTGACGCTTCTGCGCATGTCTTCGGCAGCAGTAGACGATCGCTGATCACCATTCCTCGCAGAACTGCATGAGACGTCGGATGCAGCCGTTCAGTGCTCGATTGAGCTTGACTGAAACTGTGACATGTGCAGAAGCGTCTTCTTGCCGCTACCCGATGTGTATCCCTTCTCTGCATATCACAGTTTCAGTCAAGCTCAATCGAGCACTGAACGGCTGCATCCGACGTCTCATGCAGTTCTGTGAGGAATGGTGATCAGCGATCGTCTACTGCTGCCGAAGACATGTGCAGAAGCGTCAGCTAGGCAGTACCTTGCAGGAAATACGGTAATTAACATTAATTATTATATATTAATAACTGTGGCAGTTCTCAGATCATCTTGGAGACAGGGAGGGCTGGGCAGGCAGGGAGAGCTGACCCACCCAATCCAAGCAGGCTTTGTATGCAGTGTGCACAGAAAATACTGGTACATCGCTTGCCGTGATTGGTTGGTAGAGGGGGGTAGTCTTATACGGCGAGTATAGCCCAAAGCCTATATTTTAACAGGAAAAGTAGGGGGGTCGTCTTATACGCCCAGTCGTCTTATACGCCGGAAAATACGGTACATACACACACACCCACTAAAAGAAAAAAAAAATGTTAAAAATCAAATTTCTTCATAAATTTAGGACAAAATGTATTCTGCTACATCTTTGCTATAAAAAAAAAAATCCAATAAGTGTATATTAATTGGTTTACATTAAAGTTATAGCATCTACAAATGGTGTTATATATACTGGAATTTTAATTTTTTATTATACTAGTAATGGCGGCGATCAGCGACTTCTAGCGGGACTGCGGCGGGCATTCTGACACTGGGTGGGAACTTACTAACTGCCACCATCATCCCAATGAAACAAATACAGTACTAATGACACTGGGCAGGAAGAGGTTAACATCTGGGATGATCAAAGGGTTAACTGTGTGTGCTGTTTGACATAATGTGCTGTTTGACAAAATGTGCTTTGTGTATTTCACAAGGGAAACATGCTGCTTTGTATTTCTCTGCAATGCTTTTGCTGACAGGAGAGAGACCTGTGTTCATACAAAGGTTTCTCCCCTGTCAGTTTTACATGGCGATCGCCAAAAGCCAAACTGGGGTGATTGTTTCCTGTGACACAATACGGCATACAATGCAAAGGAATGGCATGATGGGTGTCGTCCACAAAAGGAAGCCTCTCCTAAAGCCCATGCACAAAAAAGCTAGAATTTGCCAGGGCCCATGTTGAAAAAGAAGACAACTACTGGGACTCTGTACTATGGAGTGATGAGACCAAGATACATTTTTTTGAAACCGATAGCTTCAAAACTGTATGGCATCACAATGCTGAGTACAAAGAAAAATGCATGGTGCCTGTAGTGAAACATGGTGGTGGAAGTGTCCTTCTGTGGGGCTGCATGAGTGCTGCTGACGTTGGGCAGCTGCATTTCATTGATGGCATCATCAATTCCAATTTACAGGTGTACTGCTCTTTATGGAAAGTAAAGACGCTGCCATCACTCTGTGTCCTTGGTCGTCGTGCACTTTTCCAACATGACAATGATCCAAAACACACATCTAAGGCCACTGTTGTATTTTTGAAGAAGAACAGGGGGGTGATTCAATGGCCAAGTATGTCTCCTGATCTGAACCCAATCGAACAACTACAGGGAACTCTGAAGAGACAAGTTGAGCATCAATCTCTATCCACCATCAATGCTCTAAAAAGAGGTCGCTCTTGAAGAATGGAAAAAGATAGGATGTTGCAATATGTCGACAACCTGTTCATCCCATGCCTAGAAGACTTGGTGCTGCCCTTAAGAATAATGGAGGTCATACAAAAGACTAGATGTAGTAGTTTGTTTGTTGTGGGATGTATCCATTTTTTGCATCAACTAGCTTGAGTAAAAACGCAGATTTTGTAATCCAAGTTATATTAATTAACCTTACTTTCATGTAATGAGCAAAACAAATGTTCTAAAAAAACTCAGTTTTGTCAAAATTTTAGAAATCGTTCTTATGTTCATTGAGATATTGATGAAACTCTTACTTCTCAAAAGGGGTGTACTCATTTTTGCTGAGCACTGAATCACATAAAATCGGCTCTAGCTCCTACAGCCTCAGCTTTACCCTCTGCCTTTCACAGAATTCAGTCCGGATGATTATGCAAACGGATACCAACAATAAAATGCCACATGCCTAAAACTGTAAAAATTACCAAATCCCTTTATTTAAAATACATGCACTCACATTAAAATAGTTAAAAACTCTCCCATCAAAACAGCAATCCGCAGTGTATATACCTTTTCACCAGCGCTCAGCTCCCGGTCTTACCACAGGGGCAGCTATGTGCAATCCACTCACTGCTCATAGTTCACTTCCTCTGCTGACATATACACACGGACTGGCCCCCTAACATGTTTCGTCAGATTGAGGACTTCATCTGCATGTAAGCCAAGCTTGGAGATCCAATCCTTAAAGTGATACCGCCACATTGGCTTTAATACACAATTCTTATTTTAAATATATTTGCTTGTCTTATACAATTCAGACAAGCAAATATATATTGGGTATGCCAGAGCTCTAAATTGACATTTTCATGGTGACCAATAAAATAATGTCGTTTAACATAAAGAGAACAGAGTGTGGATGTTGAACACAGAAAAAGACACTGTTTAATTTGCAGTTTCGCGCTTTTCAATGTCCCAGGGAAAATAAAGTTTCATTATTCATTTGTATTTGATTTTGTAAGACTATTTAATTGTGTATTAAGAGTTGTACTCAAGTGGGAATAGCTTTAATTTCACCAAGTTTCCTTGTTGAAATGAAAGAATAAACTACTTTAGGTAGAAAGGAAGTTCTGGACCTCAACACCACCTTCTCCTTGTACAAGTTTAGAAAAGGTTCTTTAGAGGATAAGACCACCATCTTGGGTGCTCATCTCATCAAAGTGATGGCTACATAGGTAAGGAGTAGAGAGAAAAATACTTCATAGGTTCAAAGGCTGAATATGAAGTACTGAAGGAACTAAATGCAAGTTCGTCAAAATGGAGAGAATAGGGGAGCCAGAGATATTCTGTACAAAGGTCTTAGTCAAGGAATGGGAAAGCCAGTGATCTCTGAAACAAGCAAGAGCAAACACCTGACCCTGAGGGCCCAATGCTGATCCAAATCCAGCTTTTTGATGGATGTGTCCCACATAAAATTTACTTGGGTGAAAACCTTTGGTCTCGCATCAACTTAAGTATACCTTCAAGGTACGATGACAGACAAAAAGTAGCCTTTCTAGATTTAACCAGTTGCCGCCCGGCCTATAGCCAGATGGCGGGGCGGGCGAACAGCTCGTACTTCTGGGTGGACGCCATATGGCGTCCTTTCAGGCAAGCGCAGTGCGCCTGCTCGCAGGGCCGCTCTGCGGTGCGATCTGTCACCGACCGTGTACCTCGGACACGGCCAATGACAGATCTGTGTACCGGCCCCATTTCCAGTACCATGTGACCTGCTGTGATCAATCACAGCAGGTCACATGACAGTTGTATACTTCCTTCCTTTCATGCCATCCATTGTATACAAGTGTGTCTAGATGTGAATGGTCACAACAATCACATGTACAAGCTGGGCCAATCACAGCCCAGCTGTGTCATGTGATTAGCCATGGCCAAATCACAGCTAAGCACAAAAAAAAAAAAAAAAAAAAAAACCCTGAATGAATCGATGTCATTCAGGTAAATGCTTGCTTATAGCAAAGTAATTCTTTGGTAATGAAAAATTACTTCTTTGGAATTTTTAAAAGTATTTACAAGCTTTATACAAGGGTTTTTGACTGTGTATCAAGTTTCAGACATTTGTTTCCTGGGTTGGGCAAGGGTAGAAAAGCAGTTCTAGAGGAATTTTCCAGGCAAAAAAAAAAAAAAAGTACTCAAACTGAAGTTTGTGGAGCCAAAAAACATCTCCCCCAAAAAAAAGCTCATCTATTTTTTTTTTTTTAAACGTAAACAGGCGCAATTACTAACAATGAGATTCTGCATGTTGAGAGTAGTCAAGCACAGGGACACACTCTACTAAATACAGTTAGTCTTGGTGGAAAGCATGGGAAGCAAGAATGTGTTACAGTTAATCAAGTTTTTGAAAAGTCCTGTAACACAAAACAGGAAACACATTTCAAAAGGTAACATAGAACTCAAGTATTGATGTTCCACTTACCACATCTCTGAAGACAACAGCTCGCAATCTGTTTATATCCATGTCTTGTAGAAGTCTGTCATAGTCTCGCACCGGAGAAATTCCTCCTGTCAGTATGTCAACTGGACTCTGGAAACATATAAAAAAAAAAAAAAACACACAAACACAATAGTGATGTTAAATTCAATGATATGCCTTACCAATCCCCCTTTAACATACAAGTACTATTAATACTAAGTAATATTAAGTTGAAGTTTCTCTTTTCACTCCAATTAGGTCAACAGATCTCACTTGTAGTGCAACTATGTACAAAAACTAGCATTGCATTAAATCTCTTTAGAAAAAGAACTCAGTTGCCTTTCAAAGCATGGAGTAAAACCTTCCACATAATTAAGTGGGTGAGGAAATATTTAATATATTTTTACAGGCCTTTATATAGCACCAACAATTTATGCAGCACTTTGCATACTGTACTGTAACATCAGCCCGTCTTCAAGGATCTTACAATCTAAGTTGCCCATCTCACATGCATACATACACATACTAGTGATAACTTAGACAGAAACCAATTAATTTTCCAGCATGTCTTTGGCGTGTGGGAGGAAACCAGAAAAGAAAAACCCATGCAAGCACAGTGATAACATGCAATGTTCTGGCCTGGACTGCCAAAATCTTATTCTTAAAAGGCTAAGTTCACCTTCTGAACATGTTACACCCGTATTTAGAGTGTAACATGTTCAACACCCCCACCTCAACCCCCTCACTTGTAACAGCAGGTGGGGTTCTGTTCCTCTGCCAAAATGTAAAAATGGCGCTACTATGCAGGACTCCTCCCACACAGCCACGTCATTCATTCACAGAGATCTGCGGCAGATGGCTTGTAATTTTTAATGAATTACGAACACACTGATCAGCATCCTTGTAGTTCACTGCCCCTCCCCTCAGCTCAGTAACTATCTCCCCATATAGAGGTATGGGCAGAGAGCCGTCAGCCGTGTCTACAGGAGCACAACATAACATTGCACCCACGATCCACTGATCACAGGTATAATGCTTTGCAGGCTCCAGTTAAAAAAATAAATAAATGCTCATGATTTTGCAGGTAAAAATGTGCATTTATTTTTTTTTTTTTTTTATTTTTTTTTTTTTTTTAACAAAGGTGAACTTATCCTGTAACAAATAGTCTTTTCTCCCATAAACAGGCATGCTCAGCAGCCCCAAGATGTTAGAGTGGACTGCTAATATTTCTGAAAAATTCTATAAAATGTTAATTAAGGGCTCGTTTACACCTCTGTAATTTGCAGTACTGAATGCACCAGAAGATGTTTAAAGTGCTCCTCAATTCAGAAAAAATCAGTTTATTTAATTTCCAGGAATCTTCCAGGATAGCATAGAAGAGAGGCTCTGCCTACAGTACCTGAAAGAAAAAAAAAAATCATTCCACAATTATTTGGAGAGTATACTCACCTAGTCTTCTCAGGATTAGGCAAGAACCAAAGGCAACCAATGGAATTACATAATAACACAATACAACACAGAATATACTGCGGAAATCACTGTTGTCCTGGAAGATTACTAGAAATTAGTTATCAGGTAACCAGCTCAGTGTTCCCAAATCATCTTCTAGGACAGCATATGAAAAGGACAAGTTAGAAATACCAATTAGGGTGGGGGTACTGCTTGCAGGACCTGCTTAAGTTGGCCATGGACAGATCAAAATCTGCCAGTTCAGCAGATATCCAGCCAAATTTCAGTGTGTGGCCATTCCTGCCCAACAGAAGTCAATTGTTTCATTGACCATCAAAAGAGAATGTTGGAATACTTTTCTCAATCAGTGGCTGCAGCCACTGATTTGTGTATTCCAAACAGTGGTGTGTCCTGCTGCTGGAATACACTGTCCAGGCAGGAGAATTCCTTCATCCACCTCATTTGTGTGAATGGAGGAATCTTTTTTTTTTTTTTTTTTTTTTTTTTCCCCTCTTCAGCCCACTAGCTAAAAGAAGAAAAATAAACTGACTAAAATAACAAACATGGTATACTTAACTGCTCTGTGCTCCTAAAAGCTGGTACAAAAGACTCACAAAATTTGAGTATCTTTTGCCAAGAGCACTAGCATTTTTTTAAGCCAGTGTCCATGGAGCTTTAAGCTTCTGACAGCCTTCCTTTCTAGCTGAGCCAAGACATACAATCAAGGCTGGAGATGCACACATTATACTTATAGAAAGTGACAGTTTTTGAGACCAAGGAGAGGGGGATAGTTCTTAGTAAGGAAGTGACTGCTCTGGGCTTCAAAATGGCAGCCTCCAACAAGAAGAAACAGGAGCCAAGTTGGAGGCAATTTATAGCGCAATTTTGATAGCATAATTATTAATCTGGAATATATGTTCTTTTGGTAAATGCAATCAGACTGTTCTACTTTAAACACAGGTTGTCTATGCAGCACTTTATCCAAGAAGCAAGTCAATTAGGCTGCATTTGCATAGGTGTTTAGCCATGCTGTGAATCTCAGTGGCGAAAATATACTAATTCTTGTAGCTGGGACTGAAAGCTGTGTGTGGATAGCAGAGCCAGTCATCATGGCTGGACACTTTACCTGCATCTAGCCACGTCAACCACAGGTAACTGCTTGCTGTGTGTGTTCAACCACAATGACCGCGGGTCATCGCTGGTTGACCAAAATTAGTCATGAATTACTGCAGCCGCCGACAGCCTGTGGGCAACTACAGCTATCCGCACACAGCTGTCAATCCTAGCCACAGGAATCAATAGATTCTTTACGCTAGGATTCACAGCATGGCTAAACGCCATGACCTTAAAGTGCTTGTAACATAAAACGTTTAATTTTTAATTTTAAGTCTCTTTAAATCTGTATTTTATATATATATATATATATATATATATATATATATATATATATATATAAAATAATGTTACTTTTTCCTGAAATAGCTATCTAATACCTGGATGATTCTGCCAGTTCCTCTTCTTCGTGGTCGTAAACTGACCATGTTAAGCACGTAAGCCGATACGTGCTAGCATACACAGTTTGCGAGCATTCTACTCCCATTCACAGTTATAGGCACACTGTGAAAGCGTGCCTGTGTCTTTCATTATCTGTTTGAAGACGCATCCCCTGCACACCTCTCCTTCTCTAGTTGGCTAGAGAAGGAGGAAGTAATGTTATGCCCCTGGGATATTTGCGCGTGTACAATTTTGCAAACACTGATGCTTGGCAGCATATATCACTTCCAAAAGTCACAGATGACCATGCCACTCCGTATACACTGCAGAAGGCACAGCAATCATGTGACCGATATGAAAGAAGTAAAAAAAAAAAAAAAAAAAAAAAAAAAAAAACACTGTTATTTCTACTTTCTGACTATGGATTATTAAAATATTTGTTTCAGCTATATTGTTAGGACTATACTTTTAACACCTTAACTACTTTAAACATTGCAGGATTCACATTTTATATTTCTAGGTCAGCATAGGGACGAGGTATTGCCTAAAATCAAGAACAAAAAAGTCCTTGTTAAAAGTTAACTATCTTAATCAACATGTTACATGCTAAACCCCTATTTAGGATGTAACATGTGGCTACCCCCCCCAAGCTGTCATTTTTCAAATTCACACGGCTGTGCAGGGCTCCTCCCTCACTGTTGTGTCATTCCTTCACAGAGAAAAATGAACTACAAATCCTGTCTTCCACCTCAGCAGACAGGATCATGGTTTTTAATTAACACAAGTGCAGTGTCTCTGCACTAGTAGTCCATTGACACTTCCTCTAGCTCACCAACTGTAAGCCCATACAGGGATAAGGACAGATAGCTGGAGAAAGTTTGCAGGAGCCTGGCACTGCACCCATGACTCAATGATTTGCTGGTGCAATGCTTTTCAGGTTTCTTTGAAAAAAAACAAAACAAAAACAAAAACATTTTTTTCCTACACAAAAATGTGTTTTTATTTCTTTTGAAGCTGGACGTAGCCTTGAAACCACAGAAGAACCCCTAGGCTGTCGAGTAAAGGTATAGAGGAAGGGATTAATAGGATGTAGCTTCTGCTTACCTCTGAGCTTCTGACGCTCTGCACCTTGAAAAAGGTTAGGGCTGCAGTATAATTCTTCCAATTTGCTAAACCAATGGTGTATCAGAACAGACAGCACATTCAATTCTGCACTTGTAAGTGGCACACCAAAACTTGAAAGACAACCTGCCAAGAGTACACCCAGGAGAGCTGTAAGAAAAACCCAAGCCAATCTACCTTGGAGTTGTCTGCCAGATTCATAGCAGCTGGCATAGTGAAATTAGACAGCAATGTGTAGAACTGCTGACCTGAAGAAATCTGCTGTAAGACTTCAGGGAAGATCCAGGTACACCTACTGCTCCATCCTCTATTCACTTGTGCTCCCTCACTGGTGTCTATGGATACCAGCACCAGAGTATACCCAAGTTCTTTTTGTCTTGTTGCTGGTTCATGGAGACCCACAGCGTAATATCAAAGTCCATCCTTGCCCTTGCACTGGAAGTGAGTCAACTGGCTCAGCAAAGACATGTCACTCCTTCCTCTAAAAAGATTTGGGGATGCCAGCAGCCATGGTCCATCAACAGCATACATCAGGGGTTCAGCTGGCCACTGAGGGCTCCCTCTACCCCAAACCTCCTGAAGCAACACAGGAGAGGACTCTGAGCCTGACCAAATGCAAGCAAGAGAGGGCACCATCAGAGACTCTGAGCCCATGGGGATATGTGTTTCTTCTCAGGCAGAGAAAAAAACCTTGGGGAGAAACAAGAAGATGGTAGGGAGGAAAGATCCCACAACTAGAATACAGCAATAGCCAAGTTCCACTCCAGGTCCACTCTCCCGGAAATCATGGGGGGGTATAAACTGGGAGGCCCTTGCAACCACCATGAAGGCCTGAAGGAAAAAAACAAAACATTTTGATGTTCCTGTTAGGCTGGAGGAAACCAAAAAAATGACACTAGGTGACTATAATCTTTTTATTCATTGGGACGATACATTTCCTGCTTTAGGTAGGTGGAGTATCTCTCTCATTCTAACTGAAAGCCGATTTGGGAAACCTACTTTTGCTAAACATATTTTACTGCAGTGCAAAGCAATTCATGTGTTGCATGCTGCAATAATCTGTGCCTGCTGCATTATGGTAATGACACATTAAAACAATTCAACATCAACAGTCGCTTTACTTTTAGCATAAACTGACACTTTCCTTTATCTCTGTGACTTAGTGGTTAGTAGTCAAACCTTGCAAAGCAGAGGTCTTGTAAATAAATTTCAACTACGGACAGTGTCTTCAGGGAGGTTTTATGTCCTTTCTACATTTGTGTGAATTTCCTCTGGGTGCTCCGGTTTCCTTTCACAATCCAAATGACTATAAAAGCAAGCTGCCAATAAATAGGAATGACTATAGAAGCAAGCTTCCAATTTAATATAATGATTAGTCCACAATACTTTCAATGTCACAGTGGAACAGGTTTGCTCAACATGGGGTTTTATGGCTACGCAAGTTTCTGTGATCAATGAATTCTCGGAGCACACATAGTCCTTTTTTGTTTGGACCTTAATGAGAAACACACAGTACTGTGCCATGCCTTGCACACAGACATTACCTTTGCAGCAGATTTTGCTGTTCCCACCAGGCCATGAATTGCCTTCTGGTTTTTCATATTTTCTCCTGTGGATTTTAATTGCAAGTGCTGCTGACACTCCAGACAATTTCTAACAGCAATAGCACACACTAAAATGGAAAAAAAAAATAAAAAGTAATAATTCTCAGCTTACAAAAGCCCCCAAATAACTTATGACATACAATGAAAAGGACCAATCTTTAGGTTTTCCAGCTAACTTTAAAGGTAGCAAAACAAAGTACATTATTTTCAAACAGATTTATATAAATACATTTTACAAAACTTATTTATGAAAAATAAAAGATTTTTGGCAATCACAACAGAATTGATGGCGTGGTATGGTGGTCAGACAGAAGCTGTTTAAAAATCCTATTAACCAAAACATTACAAACTGTCTATTAGCAGATATTTATGTGACTTGCGAGCCAATATATCCACCCACTATTAACCCAATATTAACCCCTCAAAGCCGATAAAAAAGGACACACACTGTCCCAAATGTTAATAGGATCGCAAACACTCAACACACTACTACCACTGTGTCCATAAAGTTATTAATTCATAATGTGTTGCGCTCCCAGTGAGAGTATCAAAGATATTAATTCTATTTACCCTTTTATAAACAAATGTATACTCAGGTAATGTGCAAAAATAAAAATATATATAGTGATAGAAAAAAAATTATTATATATATTATCCACTAATGAAAAAATGGAAAATGTGAACATAATACCCTCGAAAACAATATGTGATAAAAATGTGTACTAAAACAGGAATATAAATCAATATGCATCAAAATTATTCAAAAGAAAAAATATTAAATAATAAATATATATATATATATATACTGCTAATTAAATTTGTGATAATAGTGTCCTTTGATTTCTGTGACTTAGTGCTTGATTAAATCTTGATTTGGTGACTTATTGTGAATCCGTGACTTTCTTTAAATCCTTAATCAGTGAAGATGTATGCTCACCTCCTTATTAGCCTGCAATTAGGCTATTCACACTTGTGGTTCACCTCCTATGGAACCTGTTTAGATGGAATTCCTCCTTTACAGATTGTGAAAACGTGGATATCCGTTATCCTTAATTAGCCCTTGTGCGTTTTTCCATATGTGGGAACAAATTGCCAGACATAGTGTTTTATCCTTATAAAAAGGTTTCCGCTTTATTGCTTTCCAATAGGTACACTCACATAGATAGTGTGCGGTATAGGATGAATTTGCTCAGCTCAAGTAATCCGCCAACCGTCCAGCCATGCACCCGCCGTCTGTCAAACACTCCGACTCTCTCCGAGTGACAACGCAGCCCCCACCCCTACGCGTTACGCCACTGGTCACGTGGCTTCATCAGGGGGTTATGATTCTGAATCATAACCCCCTGATGAAGCCACGTGACCAGTGGCGTAACGCGTAGGGGTGGGGCTGCGTTGTCACTCGGAGAGAGTCGGAGTGTTTGACAGACGGCGGGTGCATGGCTGGACGGTTGGCGGATTACTTGAGCTGAGCAAATTCATCCTATACCGCACACTATCTATGTGAGTGTACCTATTGGAAAGCAATAAAGCGGAAACCTTTTTATAAGGATAAAACACTATGTCTGGCAATTTGTTCCCACATATGGAAAAACGCACAAGGGCTAATTAAGGATAACGGATATCCACGTTTTCACAATCTGTAAAGGAGGAATTCCATCTAAACAGGTTCCATAGGAGGTGAACCACAAGTGTGAATAGCCTAATTGCAGGCTAATAAGGAGGTGAGCATACATCTTCACTGATTAAGGATTTAAAGAAAGTCACGGATTCACAATAAGTCACCAAATCAAGATTTAATCAAGCACTAAGTCACAGAAATCAAAGGACACTATTATCACAAATTTAATTAGCAGTATATATATATATATATATATATATATATATATTAATTATTTAATATTTTTTCTTTTGAATAATTTTGATGCATATTGATTTATATTCCTGTTTTAGTACACATTTTTATCACATATTGTTTTCGAGGGTATTATGTTCACATTTTCCATTTTTTCATTAGTGGATAATATATATAATAATTTTTTTCTATCACTATATATATTTTTATTTTTGCACATTACCTGAGTATACATTTGTTTTATAAAAGGGTAAATAGAATTAATATCTTTGATACTCTCACTGGGAGCGCAACACATTATGAATTAATTACAAACTGTCTATTTGGCACCTACGTTTGTCTAAAATAGCAGTGAAAACCATGCAACAAGCTGTAAAGAAATGCAAAAAACATATCCAATTTCTCTGCTTCTATACATTTGTGACATCTCTTAAGCCTTTCGCAGCAACTGACATATGGCATGCGTATGATGGCACGGTAACACTTACAGTTGGCCACGTCAGCATGCCATACGTTGGGCTGCATTCCCATTCCAAGTTCATGGTCAGTACGGTGACCATGAACTTATAGCAGGGTTGTTCAGCTTCTACTTTACAGCTTTTTTTGGCCTTGTGAATGAGGCATAAATACCATCCCAAAACACAAACACACACACACACACACACACACAACACAACACACACACACACACACACACTAGAAACATACCAATAATACACTTTACATGCCATGGTGCACTGTAGTGCACAAACACACTGAGAGCCCATGGCATGTTGCACATAGCCCATTGGGCGCTGGTCTTGCAGACAGACACTGCAGTCCATCAATGCAATGCATTGGCTAGTTTTTTTTATTTTATTTTAAATTACATTAATTCAACTTTCTGTGCAGCAGCGCATTGTAATGTGTTGCTGCACATTGTGACGAACTGCGTTGCAATAAAATGTATGCCTGCATCATTTTATCACAAAGCATATCAATGCCGATTGGGCATTACCACAATGCAAAGGTTAACGTCAGCCTCCAGATTGCTTATCATACAGTTTTGCATACCTGCCATGTTTTTAGCGTTACGTAAAAAGGCACAATTTAAAAGTTACAAATATTTGTTATTTATTAACAACTGCCAGTCTGCCAGAAAATTCTGACATTCTCCTCCCTTTTTTTTTTTGCTAGGAAAACTACTTCTAACCCCCCCAAACATTGTTCTAATACCGACGCATGCATTTGGCATTGCATTTATGTACAGCAGGGTGGGGATACTTTTGAAAAAAATGTTATTATAATCTTTTAATTTTTTTTTTTTTTTTCACCGTCTCTTACTAATCATCTTTCTGATAACATTAAGCAGTTACAATCAACTTCTTTAATGAAAATTGAGGTCTCAGGCCCCAAGTGTCTCCTCTACCCTTGAAAGCATTAGATCAAACTTGGACTGGTTCAATCCAAAAATTTCACAAGGTAAAACTAGCTTGAAACAAAGACCCGAAACCAAAAGTGACAACTCTCATCAATTTCTGTTTCTGACATCACACATTGGGGAAACGCCATCTGTTCCTCTTACTGTGTCCCTGAAGTAGGATGCAGCCAGCCACATCCTTACGGTGCTTTCCAATCGCACGGGAGAGCCCATAAAGGTGGCAGTGCCAGTAAAATGTAATATAGCAGCTTTTAGATGCTCGGATTACTTTTATAACACACAATCGCCAGAAAGAATCTGTAAAGAATGATCGCTCAGTCATTGCTACCAACCTTCCTATCCAAGGATGTTCTAATACTTCCCATAGGATGGGAATTGGTTAACGCAAAACAGTTTTATCCTTTAGATTTACTGGAAAATTGTAGAAATATCAAAATGTTATGTTGTGTTTGGGTCCTCTAATAATGATTTTAATAGATTAGTAAAAATCAATATTGTTTTGATAAACATTTGAGCAACCATAAAAATCTTTTTGTTCTACCGGTTTCTAGGAGAGGTATACTCTCAGAAAATATTTGGATGAGTTTTACAGGGTGTAAAAGCTGTGAAAAAAAGTGAAAAATGATAACCTCCATTTTTTTTTAACGTAATTTGCTTTTTGGTTTTTTTTTACAGTTTTGTGTACCTTCGATTTTCACCATTTTGCAAAAAAGGCACAATATAAAAACAAATAGGGAGGAGGAGGAGGAGGAGGGAGGAGGGAGAGGAGGGGGAGGAGGGAGGGAGGAGGGAGAGGAGGAGGAGGGGGAGGAGGAGAGGGGGGAGAGGGAGAGGGGGGAGGAGAGGAGGGAGGGGGGAGGGGAGAGGGGGAGGAGGGAGGAGGGGGAGGGGAGGAGGGGGAGGGGGGAGGAGGGAGAGGAGGAGGAGGAGGAGAAATCCAGTCCGCCATTATATTTGACATGAAAAAGTATTGCGGTTGCAACAATGTATCTATTTGTATCCGAATAAAAAAATCTGTATCCGAAATGGATACAAATAGATACAATGTTGTAACCGCTATACTTTTTAATGTGAAATATAATAGCGGATCCCTCTGCAGGGCACAGAAGTAATTAAATGCCGGCCATAGACGGGACGAAAATCGGGACGATTTTTTTTTATCGTTTGTGGTAACGTCGGCCTATTGAAAGACCGATTTTTTGTTTTTTTGTGAAAAAAAAAGGCCGGTTTTCGACCCATCTATGGTATTTTAGATGCTGGATGTCCCAATAAAGAGAACCTGTCACCAAAAATCATCAAAGTAAAACAACAAGAAGCGCACCAACCTTGTGCATTACCTCAGTAACAAAAATTTATTAAATGAAGGAAAGGTACTCACAAACAGCGAATAAAAATAGGCATGTAAGTCCACCAAGGGACTTCAAAGGTACGAGGCCAGCGCGAATCCCATCATGGGTATAGGTACTCAGTCCATCTGACGCGTTTCGAAGGTCATGCCTTCTTCCTCAGAGCTGACTGGACTGAGAGTGTATAACTTACACTCTCAGTCCAGTCAGCTCTGAGGAAGAAGGCATGACCTTCGAAACGCGTCAGCTGGACTGAGTACCTATACCCATGATGGGATTCGCGCTGGCCTCGTACCTTTGAAGTCCCTTGGTGGACTTACATGCCTATTTTTATTCGCTGTTTGTGAGTACCTTTCCTTCATTTAATACATTTTTGTTACTGAGGTAATGCACAAGGTTGGTGCGCTTCTTGTTGTTTTACTTTGCAGTTTGTTCGGGCTCCCCCAGCCTTGGTTTGGAGCTGCACGACCTTGGATACTCCGGTGGTTGCTTCTCTGGAGGTTTTAATTCCATCTACTCGTCACCGGCCTGGGTCCCGGAGCGCAGGAGAAATCTTTTTTGGTTTATTACCAAAAATCATCACACAGGGGGCTTTTTGTAATGAAAAAAAAAAAAGTAAAAAAATCTATATCTATATCTATCTCTATATATCGTTTTTAAATTGTAAAAATTAAAGTTTTTACACCCAAGCACATAACTCCCAACACCACCCCATCCCCACCAAAAAAATGTTCAAGACCCCCCCCCCCCCCCCCCTACATATATACGCATGTAGATACGTAAAAGCACATGCTTAGGCGCCTATGCATCAAAAAGTCTATTTCAACACACGTTACACATCGCCGCACATGCTAGAATGAGAGCAATTCTAGCACCAGACCTACTTCGTAATGCTAAACTGATGACTTCTAAGGGGCTTTAAAAGCGTTGCCTATAGAAAATGTAGGGTATTAAAGTTTGTCGCCATTTCACAAGTGTACGCAAACTTAATATTTGCCATCTATTCACTCGGTGCAACCTCATCTTTCATATTTTACAAAAAAATAAATTTAGTAACTTGCTTCTTTTTTGTGCCAAAAAATTTACTTAAAGTGTTACTAAACCCAGGATCCTACATTCACTATATCTGGACGCCCACAGTACACAGAATATGGAAGTGCAATTATTTTAGTAAATATAAACTGCTAAATACCTTTTCTCATCAGCAATTAAAGCAGTCTTGTGGCTTCTATCACTGTTCAGCAGAGCACTGGTTAACGCTTGGAGGAGTTTTTTTTTCTGCTCTTGGAGGTTGCAAAACCCCTGATCTCTGTCTGGACAGTGCGGATTGGCCCTATGCAGATCACATGCACTCTCCCAAGAAAAAAAAAACCTCTCTAACAATACAAACTAAACATGTGCAAAATGGCTATGGTTCAGTCTGTCTTATCAGGAGGTAAGACATGGACATTTGAAGAAGAGGAGGAGCAGAGAAATCAGGATCAAATGGCCTTTTTACACAATGTAGAGGATTAAGCCCTTAGGTTCAACAGTGAGTATAACAAGCATGCTTTACTGCATATACAGACTGCTTTTAGTGTTGTGGGTTTAGTAACACTAAGTGTATTTTGTACTGAAATGTTTTCATTTCCTAGACCTTTGTGGTAATATCAGGCGACATAAAAAATTGAAACTACCACCATTTTATTCTCTAGGGTGTTTGCTTTCAGAAAACGTATGTTTGGGTGTTGTGTAATCTTCTGGCCTAAAATGATTTTTTAAACGTGTGCAAAAAACATAAAAACGGCTCTGGCAGCGAAAGGGATAAAAGGATAAGCCCGACACTCCCCCTTTCCTGCAAGCACCCAATCGGTGCTCATTACACTGCAAGGTTTCTCTCCTTGCTGCTGGTCCCTGGGTGCAGTGCTGAAGACAGGCAGGGAGGTGAGGAGGAGAAAAACAGTGCAATGTTAAAAATATAAAAAGTTTAAGTCTCCATAAAGCCCATTTTGTTTTTAAAAGCCCCAGAAATTCCTAATAGCACCTCAGATTTAAATACGGTTTTGGTTAAAAAAAAAATAAAATAATTTTTATCTGGACAAATCTATTGCCATGAGGGACAAGTAGACTGGGACACCAATTTAGTCCCTGGACAAGTAGTTTTTTTCAAAAATTTCCACACCCCAGCTTCTGTGCTACAGGATCCACTGCAGCCCCTCATACTTACTTGAGCTCGATCTCGATCCAGTGCTGTACAGGACAGGGTCTCACAGGGCTGACTGATAGCAGTGGGAGCCATTGGCTCCTGCTGCTGTCAATCAAATCCTGTGATGAGGGAGAAGTAATTGAGCCCTCACGAGTGCCTCCATAGGAAGCAGCTTCCTATGGGGACATTTACAGAATAGATGGAGCCAGGAGCACTGGAGGGTGAAGGGGACCCCAAAAGAGTAGGATGGGGGTTGCTCTGTGCAATTACTTGAAGTGCTTACCAGACCTTGAATGGACATTCTATATGGTCACTAACCATCTGCATTCTTGCTGGTTATCCGTGTGTCATGAATTGAAATGGCTTTTTTTGACATGCAGGCAAATCAACAACAGCAGAGAATGCAGGTGGTTTTCAAAGTTAGCAACACTTCATAGCTATGAAGTCTACTGTAAAAAGCATTGCTAGAAATGTTTAAAATATGTATACATATGCTTTATGATGATCTTACCTAATCGAAGGCACTGCCGTAGGATGCCCCCAGATGACATATTTTTTTTCAGCTTCAATATCTGTAAAGCCCAATGAACTTGCAAAAATAAGGACATCTACAAGACTTATTGCTCTCTGAAGGAATGTTATAGCTGTTTCTATAGAAAGACCTTGGGTAGGTTCAATATTTTCCAGTTCATGCTGAAACAGAAAAATAAATCCAAAACAGCTTTTTATGGATCTATGGCTTTACTTGCAACAGAAACTCTAGAATGCTCCAAGGCAAGAGAAAAACAATATACAATTATTAACGGCAAAAAAAGTCAAATTATAAAGACAATGTAACCAAAATGAATGCAACGACAGTCCCTTAACCAATGGATCTAAAAACAAATACAGTTTTTCAGATACTTTTAATGCAGCTTCCAGAAGCCTCTTATGATCAGCATACTAGCAGCTTATCTGAGTAGCTGCATCCTTATACACATTCAAGAAAATAAGAATGTTTTCTAATTTAAAAATGAAGCAAAATGCTAACAAAAGTTAAAAGGTAACTCCACTTTTGAGAAAGATATAGCAAATATAGCATTTCCTGCTTGTGTGATTTCCTCAATGATTTTACCAGAAGTCTGCATTAAGATAAATGAAAGAAAATGGGTGTGATGCGGACATTTCGTTATTTGGCTAATACAAGTCAGCAGGATGTATTTGTCTGTGTTATTGTTCTGCTCTGCCCCTGCCTGGGCGTATCTTGAGCTTGTTATTCTTAAAAGAAAACGTTCTTAATAAAAATATTGAAACAGAAAATGGGTGTGATGCAAGAAGTGCCATCATCCCTATCACAATGCAATTAGTGGGATTTTTAGAGGCACAAGTCAAACCAATAGCATTGTAAAAGAGAACTTTTTTTTGTAAACAATATTTTATTTATACAGTTAAAAAAGTCAATTACAAAACATGGCGGTAACAGCAAATGTGATTTTACAATAAGTATATGAAGGAGGATGAATCATGCATTCATTTGCTCTTGATGCATTTCGAAACTGACAGTTCTTCTGACCCGGCTCATAACATCAGAGAGTATTCTTTTCCTATTGGTTTTTTTATGTCAAGAGACTGCATCCTCACATTGAGCTGGATTTGCTATTTTTGTAACCCCATTTCATTCAAGTTAACATTGGGGATTAGACAACTCCCTTGGTTGCCCCTTGGGGGCCGTGGAGGGGTCTCTCCTGGAGGTTAATGGGACGGCAGCTGTCCTCTTTTTTTTCCTTTATCCATTTTCATTCTTTCATTCATGGGAGGATTTTGAAAATATTGTCTACATCCACTTTATTAATGGTCTTCGTCAACTGGCAGTTGTTTCATGTTCTTGGCCCCGAAGGGGCTGTGTGTCATGCCCCTAAAGCACTTCTGAAGAAGAGATTACTGTCGGTCTCGAAATGCATCAACTGCAAATGCATGCATGATTCATCTTCATGTACCTACTGTAAAATCATGTTTGATGTTACTGCCATATTTTGTAATTATAGGTCTTTAACTTTGAATAAATAAAATATGGTTTACTAATAAAAAAAAAAAAAAAAAAAAAAAAAAAAGCAAAATATATCTTTTACAATACTATTGGTTTGACTTGTGCCTCTAAAAATCCCACCAAAAAGAGGGCGTTTCTATTGCATTTGTAACATTTTTGGAATCCTTGGGACAGATGCACACATCTCACCAAGATTAAAGCTTAGCTAGCGAGCTCCATACCGAGCCAGGCGAAACCTGCCAGTCCTAGCGCTCAAGGAGACCTGATAGACCTACTTGTGGGGAGAGACGGTCCCAAACCTACTTGTGGGGAGAGGAGGTCCCAAATCTGCTTCTGTATTACCTGATGGCTGGAGGAAAAATAAAAAATAAATAAATAAATAAAAAAAAGATGCTTCAGACTGCCTGACATCCCATTCCAAGATGGCAGCTACAACTCAGCCACAACCACATGGTTCAGAGGTTCTGGAGGAAGTCCGCAACCATGCAGAAGTGCTGAACCTCCATCCTGGGCGCTCTTCCCCAGTAAGTAAATCCTTCCCTGGCAGAAAGTCCTGGCCTAAACTGAACCTCTGCTAGAGAGGACACTGGATGATTTCCTTAATCTTTCAGCACACTCAACCTCCTAAGCAGTCCTGCTATCCCAGATTCTGCCATTAATCCTCCTCTGATGACATGGGACATATCAATAATTGTTTCATAAAATCTCCGATCGACAATTTAATATTTATTACAGAAACTTATATAGCGACGTCAATTTACGCAGCACTTTACGTACACACATATATAAACATTCACATCATTCCCTAACCCTCAAGGGGCGTACAATCTAAAGTACCTACATTCATGCATACTACGGCCAATTTAGACAGGATCCAATTAACCTACCAGCAAGTCTTTGGCGTGTGGGAAGAAACCAGAGTACCAGAGGAAACCCACACAGGTACAGGGAGAACATGCAAACTCCAGGCAGGTGATGCCGTGGTTGGGATTTGAATCAGCGACCCTAGTACTGCCAGGCGGAAGTGCTAAGCATTTAGCCACTAAACAAGGGCCAGTCCAAAAAAAAAAAAAAAAAAACAAAAAAAAAAAAAAAAAACAATGTAAGCTAGCCGCTACCATTTCTCGCATTAATCAAAACACCCAGAGTATTGAGGACTTGCACCAACAATTAGATTAAGCTCAGGCAAAGCAAGATGATCTTATAAAAAGATCCAGACTTTATAACGCTTGAATTCGTGGCCTCCTTGAGTCAGTCAAGGATGTGGATGCTGCTGTCCTCTCCTTTCTCCAAGACCATCTGAGTCAGTTGGCATTCAATAGGGCCCATTGAGCCCTGCAATCAGTGTGTGCAGATGGTCTACCCAGGGACAGAATTGTAAAGCTTCATTACTGAGGGATCAAGAACAAGTGATACAAAAAAAAAAAAAACAAATGAGAGAAATCGTTCAACTTATCTATCATCCTACTCAAATGTTTGCAGACATCTCACTATTCAGAAGCATAGTGCCATCAAACCATTGCTCCTAACACTATCACATAAGGAGATTAAATACAAGTAGGCTTTTCCATTGTGTATCATTTTCTTACAAAACACATTCTTTTGCTTCCTTGCCAGGGGGTGAGGATCTATTCCTATAACTGGAAATAATTTCACAAGAAGCTAATCTGAGATCCACTCCATTTAACCGTCAATCTGGAAATCTGTACCCCACCTCCCGGCCTCTCTCACCATTATGGCAAGAATCCAAAGTTCATCTATAATCTACGAGGCTCTCGTCTACCTAGAAATCTTTATTTTTTTTTTTTTTTTTTACACCATACTACTCAGGTCTACCTAGTGCTCCTGGGAGTCTATTGTGTCCCAGGATTACTTCCAATGAATATATATATACAGTGGGGCAAAAAAGTATTTAGTCAGCCACCAATTGTGCAAGTTCTCCCACTTAAAAAGATGAGAGGCCTGTAATTCGCATCATAGGGAGACCTCACTATGAGAGACAAAATTAGAAAAAAAATCCAGACAATCACATTGGCTGATGTGGAAAGAATTTATTTGCAAATTATGGTGGAAAATAAGTATTTGGTCATTATCAAAAGTTCATCTCAATACTTTGTTATATATCCTTTGTTGGCAATGACAGAGGTCAAACGTTTCCTGTAAGTCTTCACAAGGTTGGCACACACTGTTGCTGGTATGTTGGCCCATTCCTCCATGCAGATCTCCTCTAGAGCAGTGATGTTTTGGGGCTGTCGCTGGGCAACATGGTCTTTCAACTCCCTCCAAAGGTTTTCTATGGGGTTGAGATCTGAAGACTGGCTAGGCCACTTCAGGACCTTGAAATGCTTCTTACGAAGCCACTCCTTCATTGCCTGGGTGGTATGTTTGGGATCATTGTCATGTTGGAAGACCCAGCCACGTTTCATCTTCAATGCCCTTGCTGATGGAAGGAGGTTAGCACTCAAAATCTCACGATACATGGCCCCATTCATTCTGTCCTGTACATGGATCAGCCGTCCTGGTCCCTTTGCGGAGAAACAGCCCCAAAGCATGATGTTGCCACCCCCATGCTTCACAGTAGGTATGGCGTTCTTTGGATGCAACTCAGCATTCTCTCTCCTCCAAACACGACAAGTTGTGTTTCTACCAAACAGTTCTATTTTGGTTTCATCTAACCATATGACATTCTCCCAATCCTCTTCTGGATCATCCAACATGGCCCGGACATGTACTGGCTTAAGCAGGGGGACACGTCTGGCACTGCAGGATTTGTGTCCCTGGCGGCGTAGTGTGTTACTGATGGTAGCCTTTGTTACGTTGGTCCCAGCTCTATGCAGGTCATTCACTAGGTCCCCCCGTGTGGTCCTGGGATTTTTGCTCACCGTTCTTGTGATCATTTTGACCCCACGGGGCGAGATCTTGCGTGGAGCCCCAGATCAAGGGAGATTATCAGTGGTCTTGTACAGCTGCATCAGATTCTATGTGCACCAGTTTTAGGAAATCTCCCCAAGTGTATACAGGAAGCTTTACAACCGCTGTCAAGAAATCTACTGATTCTTGCCTGTGGCTGCACCTGGATGTAGATTTTATCCTTCCTAAGCCTGGGTTCACACTTGTCCACTGCATTATGATGGGGCAAATGATTGATTGTGAATGGGTTGCCAGCAGACTGAATGAAAAATGAGGTGGATGGAGCAACACTTCCCCTCAGAATGGAACACTTTATTCTGACAGCGGACTTTGTCCTATCAGAATACACTGATCAGTGGCTGTAGCCGCTGATCGACAAAACTTTTCCCAACTTGTTCATTCAGCAGAAGTCGATTTAACAATAACTTCTGTCAAGTAGTGAGGGCCACACATTGATCAAAATACATCCACTCCCTGCTAAACTGGACAGATTTTGCTTAGTATATGGCCAACTTTAGTGTGTTGTGGTGCCAGTGGGCATTGCAGCACACCAACACACATAATACGTTACCACAACGCCATAGTGTAAACCAAGACTAAAGCACCAAGAAAAAACACCTAAGGCTTATGCCTGGTACACATATCAGTTTGTTTTGTTTTTTTTTCGTTCAACCCAACAGGCTGAAATAAAAATTACTGAAGAGCTTGGGAGGAGCTCACTGTACTAACAATCTGACGTTAGCACAGCGTTCTTCCTGCTGAGCTATTGTGCTCTTACAGGGGGACTGCTCCCCCACCAGAACACACCAGTCAGCACTCTCAGCCATTGGCTGCCAGCACTGATAACATGCTGGTTTTCCAGCATGCTCGTTCGACAGAAGTCAGCTGTTCAGCTAGCTACTGTTAGACAAGCTGGTAAACACACGGGCCAAATTTTGGCCAGTTTCTGTTGAACCGGCCACTATTCGGCCCGTGTGTACTGGCCTTTTCCAAGACCCATTTGTAAATACCTTTTCCTTCCAGATGCCTGAGGCCAGAGCAATCCACCACACCTCCCTTATGTGGGGCATTATTTTAGAATTACGGACACCAGATGATTTTTCTCACCCAAAATCCACTGAAAAACTATGTAGTACATTGTATTGTCCTGATTAGTAAATGAGTTGCATTTGATAGGCACTACTGCCAGCCAAGTGCAACAGCATGTATATCTATCTTTGGAGCTCAAGGGGGAGCAATGGGGGGGGGGCATGGTAAAAATGCAAAGCTGTGACCTGAACCCCCACCCCCTGAAAAAGAAAATTATCTATGGCCATGGACACAGCTAAAATAGTCATTTTCTCAGTCTGAGCTTTCACCACTGTAGTCCACAGAAACAGCCATGAGAGAGAAAGCAACTGGGAGAAATTTAGTCTATGGTGCACAGACTATCATTAACACAGCTTCAACTCACAGGCAAAAGAATTGATTTAGTATTCTAAGGATACAAATAACAGTAGGCAAAACTTAACAGGTAAGAAGTGGGAGGAGGGCTGCCTTTCAGTTTTCTATGTACCAAATGTCCATTTCTCTTGTAGGAGGCAGTATAACCCTAGGTTACTCATTCTCAAGCTGTGTCCCTAACGGACAACAGAGAAAATAACCATTTCAAGCTAAGCAATCTTGCTGACTGGCAGACTTGGACTGAGACTTAAAATGAACAAAAAAATACAATCACTGTGCAAACTAAAGAAGAAAACATTACCTGCATAGTTAAGGGGAAAATATGGCTACACCCATGTAACCCTTGTAAAAAACTAGAGTAGAAACAAGTTTTTGTAAATTGTTAAACACACATTGATACAGTTTATATTTTGCTCAACACGTTCACAATGTAAAACATGGACTACAGACTCCCTTAAAATCATGCTGAGTATACCAACACATATTGTGTAAACAATATTTCATACATTAGTCTGACCATGGTATAAATAAAATAGCATGCTTACAGTAGTAGAGGTTGCAGCAGAAAGTAATGGTAATATACCCACCACACGCCATGATCATGTTGTCTGTTATTTGCGATATAAGGTGGATTGTGTTGTGTACAAAAATAACATTATCACTGCTGTTCACAAAGTCCATTATTGTCTTTGTTGAGTGGCTGTAAAAAAAAAAAAAATTAAAAAAAAAATAAAGAACAAGAGCAAAGCAAAATTAATTTTAGAAATTATTACTGTGAATAATTGGGCCTACTTTGATAAGTGATAGGAATAAAACAGAAAGGAACAACCGCTTCTCTGAACACCTTACCGTGATTTAATTTAGACACCTGCAAGGAAGATGGTGCTACAACTTAGGCCCTTTACCCTCTTGCTTAAATCTATCAAAACAGATTTAGCGATAGTCTTTTATCAACCAGTTTCATAGCTCCCCCACTATGAGCTTCACTCTTCTACGATGCACTATGGCTACATCTGCACAGCAATTTTGCCTTCTTCTGATTCCTGTGAGTGGCTAGCTGTGGCCACCGAGCCCATCCACTTCAATGATAGTGGCTGCAACTATTTCCTGCTGTTCACACAGAAAGTGATTACTTGTGGTGAACATTGCTGGATGAGCTTAGGCTTAGCAGTGGCTGCTAGGCGGTCACAGGTGTCAAACACTGCAGTAGATTCCTGCAGCTAGCATTTCTATAGTGGCAAAATGGCCGTGTGAATGTAACCTAACAGAATGAAATTGGAATGGCCTGAATAATAATACTTGGGTTATTGCATTCAGTATGTGGTGTCTTAAGGAAAAAAGAAAGTTTGACTTGTCTGTATATTTCATACCTTGGAGTACAGGACAGGACACAGGCAGATTATTCATATGCCATTAGTTATAAGCATGTACCTTCAGGGGATTGGACACTGGCAAAGCTTTAGGAGAACACGCCTCCTGAGTGACTTCCCTATAACCTTACCCCACTCTGAGTCTGTAGTTTTGTACCAAGCACTTCAAAGTAAACTGAGGAATAGAAGGGAGGGTGGCCTGCATCCACTACTAGACTCCCAAGATATGGAATTTACAGTTAAGTCAATATTCCTCTTATTATGCACAGGACAAAGAGGAGCATTAATACATCATGTGAGGTTCTCAAGCAATGAATAAGAACAAAGAAACAAAAACTGTGCTGATATGTATAAACAATGGGGGTTAGAACTTGAGTGCTGCTAAGAAAACCTTGTGGCCAAAAGCTGCATACGCAGATGACTACATGTCCACCTGGTAGAATTTGGATAAAGTAAGAACAGAAGACAAGGTGGTGGCCTTATCCAACTGGGCTACAGGGACTTGGTGCAAAAACACTCAAGAAACTCCCACTGATCTGGTAGAACGGGTGCATAAAAACTCAGGAGAAGATTTCTATTTGAGAATGTAGGCTCTTACGATCACATTCCTTATCCATCATGCGATGGTCCCAAGGAAAGGGGGGAAAAAAAGGGAATCCGTCTGTCGGATTGGAAAAATAACTTTGACGTATACTCTGATGACTGACTCCCTCTAGGCAATGTAAAGAGATTTCCTTTGGATGCTTAGGAGCAGGGCATAAGGATGGTAGGACAATGTCCTCAGTGAGGTGGAATTGTGAAGTATAAAGAAGGACTCTTAACAGGATAAGGCTAACAGTTTAGAAACACATTTGGCAGATGTGAGTGTAACAAAAAGGTTCAGGAGCAAATTCAGGCTCACTGACTTCTATTGGAACTGCTTCTGAATCGCACATCAGTTTTCGAATACAATATCAGCAGTTTTCTCTCTTCAAATCCTGTACTGAACCGCATCTGAACTGGCCCTGAACTGCTAAACCGCTTGTAATTCGCTGTCAAAATGGACCTTCAAAACAGCACAGCACATGTGTGACTCCAGCCTAAAAGGGTGGTTTCTGCTGGGCAGAGAGAACAAACCTGGAATCCCAAGAAAGCACAGGATACTGTAAGGAGGGCTTAATATAAGATACACCTTGAAGAAAAGATCTTACAAGGAACAGTGAAGCCAGAGGTCTTTGAAAAAGAATGAAACCTGGGGTAAAAAAAAGTCCAAGAACTGACTTTTGAGAGTGCTTAAGGCCTATAAACCAGGTCAAGAACTGTCTGTACGAAGGCCAGAATGTGAGACAAAGTAATCTTTGGGATCTGTTAAAACTAGACAAAAAAAAAAAAAAAAAAAAAAAAAAAAGGATTTCCAGGTGCAATAATAGATCTTCCTGCAAGAGACTTTTCTTTTTGCAAGGTTGGAATCAAAGACTCAGAAATCCCTCTATCCTTTAAGAACTCAAACTCGTTGTGAGATAGTTCTTCGATCTCAATTCTTGGGCATGTGCTCTTAGAGAAAATAAATTTTTTTACCTAGGAGAAAGACTTTAGCTTGGGGTGTGTCCAGGCTCAGGCCCAAGTATTCTAGTCGAAGGGAAGGCTGTAGAACACATTTGTTGAAATTGATCGCCCAGCATGGTGGATCTGTATTTTCCTGTGGACAATTTCTGATATCTACAAGGGAGAGGAGCCCTTCAACTGTGACTTGGATGCCCTGAGTTCTGAGAAGCAACAGCGGTGCTAAGACCTTTATGCACACTCTGATAGTATAGTGCAGTGCTACAAATGAGGTGACTGTCTGTCACTGAAGAGTGCAGAGAGCACCGATGGAGTGGGTCAATGGAAACATGCAGGTAGGTTTGTTGGATATCCATAGATGCCATGTATTCATTCCCCCTGTCTCAGAAAGGCAATTACAGACCCAGCAGATTCCATGCAAAATTCAGAAACTTGAACAATGCTGTTGAGGGATTTTACTTTCAGAATAGGTTGAATAAGGCATCCTGCAAATCTAACTTTCCTTGGAAAGTATTTGGTTGATTTGAAAGAAGAAAGCAATGAAAGCATTTGTATCCATCTAAAACCACTGATGGAAGCCACAGGCCTGGGATGTCTGCGACCAAAACAGTAACAGGCATCGCCCAATTCCTAGAAGTGAGGATATCCCTTCATTGCAAAGAAGGATTTGGGGAAGGCTTGGTGGACTTTGCGGGTGAAGTCTTGCTCTGAAAGAAATAGCTGAACTTAGGTTTTGAAGTTGAAGCAGACTGGTGTTCTGAGTTTAGTGGAGTCAGAGGCTCCTGGGGAGTAGGGTTTGGCAACCTTTGGATGTTGAAGTAAAACCTTCCCACCTGTGACCTCTTTGATTAATTGAATTGGCCATGTATCTCATCAGACAGACTTCTTGCTTGAAAAACATACATGCGAGGCACCTCATGCAGGGTAGCTTAAGTTGTCCAGGCTTTTAGCCATAAGATTCTGCGCATGTGAATGGACATTGGAGAGCCATTCTGGAAGTATGTGTCATGACATGTTCTAGGGAAACTACACAAAAAAGCAGAGCAGAATGCAATTGCTTTAAGCTCTGTAACAGCATGATTTTAAAATACAGGGTTGTGTTGGTTGTCCTATTCTGCAGTTTGAGATAATGAAATTGCAGCAAGTGCTGGTTGCTGGACTGGGCCTACAAGATTAAATTCTATGTAAACCCTCACCTTGTAAAATAATCATTCTGTTTAAAATAGAAATGAAAGGCAAAATATTTGTGTATACATATAAATTAAAAACATTATAAATACCTTTTTCCCCTATTTTATACATGATCACATAACCTCTAAGTTCCTTATGCAGCTGAGAATGGAGAGCTGTAAGAGGATAAACAGCAGCAAACTGAACTTCCCAGCGAATGGCTGTGTGGGGGAGGGTGCGTGTCAGGATAAGTGTGATCAATGGAGGAGAGCAGGCTGAGTTCCAAGCACATCTAGGAGAATGGACCACGGATTTTTCTCTCATGCCTAGTGTAGTCAGTTTTTAATAGGAAACCAGAGGGGCTGGCAGGAAAACCAGGGATTTCACACAAAGGAAGGAGATGCAAAGAGAACAGGATACTTTTTCGTACAGATGGTACAGCAGTCATATCAGGAATATGAAAAGTTGGGTTTACATACTCTTTAAAAAGTCTTTAGGAATGTCTCGAGATTTCTACCTGCAGAATCCTTGAAAGAAAAAACATTTTCAAAAGGTACAGGGAGATATTTGTTTAGGAGAGATGATCAACCACAGGAAAAACCCATTTCTTTGAAAACTCTTTCTCCAAAATCTTTGCTGAACTCTGTTCTTTTTGGAAGAGTGGAAATCCTTTCAAGGGTGACCCAATCGTCAGACTGAACATTTTAACTGTTCATGAACAGGGAATGTTTTCCAGGAGTTTGCAAAAGCCTTTGCATTGTTTTTACCTGACTCTCCTCTGTCTCACCCATGCCCCTTTGGGTGCAAACAAATGCAATGAGCTTTTCATTGTTAGCAAGAATGTTATATTAAGTTCCCTCTTCAATATAGTGCATTTTTCTGCAGCTTTCTCCAATACTGCCTCAAAATCCTATTTGTCCTCTTCTATGTCCTCTAGGACAGGTTCAGAAAAAGGGAGTAGAAGATGCGTGGCTTTTTTGGACCCTGGATAAAGATGGCGGTGTTAAAGTGGAGCTCCACCCAAAAGGGGAAGTTCCACTTTAAGGACTGCTCCCCATTAAGGATTGGCACCTTTGGGGAGCGGTGGGGAACCGGGTACCCAAATTTGACAGGTACCCGCTCCCACTTCCGGTCCGCTCGCCTAGGCGATCGGAAGGTGTCCTCCCTCCCTCCCTGTAGTCTTTTGGGACACGTGACAGATCCCAGAAGACTACAGGACCATTCACGAAGAACAACGCTACTCGCGCATGCGCAATGGGTACCTGGCTGTGAAGCCGCAAGCTATCACAGCCGGGTGCCCACACTGAAGATGCTGGCCTCCTGGAATACAGGAAGGCCGGTGAAACAGGCTGCGGGGGGACACACCACAGGACCGAGGGACAGGTAAGTGGCTGTTTTTTTAAAAGTCGGCAGCTACAGTTTTTGTAGCTGCTGACTTTTATTTTTTGGTAGGTCGAATGGAACTCCGCTTTAAGGATGTAATCTGTCCAAGAAAATGTTATACAGATGCAGAGAATTCTGCTTTAGTTGAACAGGCTGATTGTTGCGTGCCTGGAATAGAGCTAGAATCTGATGAGGTGTCCTTAACACCAGTGTCCGCATCACTCTGAGGATAAGT